CAAACTTCATCCTACTGACGATGGCTCTTTTCCAGCTCGAGAAAATCTTCTTTCTCTGGTCGCTCTCCACAGCTCCCCTATTTAGCCGCGTTCCTGGGAGGTCAAGTTCAATTGGCGAGCAAAGGAACTCTCTGGCTTACCCCTGGCACTGGACCCCTTGTATTCCGCAGTCAGCCCCCCAAGTTTCAACTTGATGATTGAGCAGGACCAAGGCCGGTGGTGAATGACGGACGGAACAGGTCCCACGATGAACAAAATCGAGTGCGAGAAAAGATGCAAGAAAAAAAAAAGAAGAACAAGATCAAGGACAAGAAAGAGAAACCAAATTACCAGTCAAAAACAAAAGTCGCCTCAACGAATGACAAAATACAAGGGACCGCGACCGCCGAGTGCCGAGCGAAGTTGTGGAGAGAGAGATGGGCCCAAAGAGGTCGCGTGATCCCCCAAGCTATGAAGTTACGACAGCCGTTAGCTTTTTTCGAATAATTGACGGTATCGTGAGACCGACCGCCCCATCCGGAGGGGCGTTCACAATGCCAACAGGAGTAGGGGTTCGCTACCGGTCTTTACGTCGTCTGCGCCTGCGTTTGCGTCCGGCGTCCGGCGTCTATCGTCCAGCAACGAATTCAATAGTGTGACATTGATGGAAAGCAGGTCGCCGCACCTTTTCACAGGACGGGAAAGAGAAACCAAGAAGCCATTGGGAACTGTGTGCCTCGTGGGGACTTGACCTGGATTTCAAGAAAAATTCAAAGTTGGCCCTTATCCATGATGGAGATGTGGGGAAGCCATAATACACAGTATGCTTGCTTCGAGTTGACACGAGAAGCAAGAACAAAGAACGAGCTTGATGGAGTGAGTGCAAAGTGGATGATGCGGCTTCACGGGCAAGTCAGAGAAATTTCCCTTGTGGCATGGGGGTGCGTCTATCCGACCGGTCTTGTACAAACTCGCTCAAACTCCCAGCCAGTTGCAACCACTTCTTGCTGCTGATTGGCGACCGTGGACCAAGACCTGCATCTGACTGGACCAAGGCTGACGCTCAACGCCTCTCCAAATACCCTCAATACAAAAGTCTCCGTCGACAATCATCGGTTTGGCCACGCCTCCGTCTCTCCCTCGAACGCCTCCAAATTCCGTGCTGCACCAATCCAAACTGCAAATCCAACCAACGTGTCTTGCAGGGCCCTCCTCCACTGACACCGACACTGACGCTGACCGACTTGCTTGACTGGCTGACTGGTTGACGCACTGCCGGTGCCCGCTCGTCCTGACGATAGCCGACATTTAATACGTTTGATTCATCATGTCTCAGTTTTTTTATTTCCTCTACTAATCACCAATCAGATGTGGAACCTCAGATATGATCGCTACGAGGTCAAGCACCCTGAAAACCCGCTCCCCATGTGATTGTACGACACCAGGATGGAATGTCAAAGACGGGGTACAGTAATAAGCGTACTGTACATATATGTACAGACATAATATTGTACATACAACTACTGCAGACGCTGTCTAATGCCATCATTCTCTAGCCCCCGGCAACATCCCACCACCACATTTTTGGTATCAAACATAGGTATATTGCTCAAGTTCCCACAGCCCATTGCCTCCCCTCAGCGTAGACTCGGTGTGAAGGTCGCTGCCATGTAAGCAGGCCTCTTGGTTTAAAACAAACATGCTCAGAGACCAGTCCGTCTTGTTCCCTACTCCAGCCTCTTGTAGCTATTTGCGCTTCTCGTAGTTTCGGTCCTCCTTCTTGCTCCGTCCACTCATCATTTACAGCCATTGCCTCCATCTCTTCCGACAAGCGTTCCTCCTCTGAGGGTTGGTCACTATGAGCCGCTCGCGGTGACTGAAGTGACAGTGATCCACTGGCTGGTACAACGTCCTGAAATTCCCGAGCCAGTATCACAGATCTCTGGACGGCCGATTTGCCAATATGTATAGCCATAGATGTTCTGAACGTTGACGAAAACTCGGGGTACAATAATTTGCTCTCGATCGAGTTCGTAGTCTTTCGGACAAACTCATATTCCTTCCACATACTCTCGAGTTGTAGCAGTCGGCTCTTTGATAGAGTCATCTCAGCACCTTCCCTCGTGCGGGCGTCTTGGAAGCTGCCAGGGTGTACATTGATATCCGATAGAAGAAGATTTGCTTTTGATAGTGATTCCAAGAGCCTGTTGAGTTTGGGTCCAGAGATGTCCAAGTTAATCAGGCGTCCCTCCGGTTCTCTGCGACTGCTGAGGCCGCAAATATCGATCAGAGCGAAAGCCCTGCCAACAAGATGTGCTGCAGTGTCGGCATCTTCTTGCGACAGGAGAATTTCCCACCTCTTCTGACTGTCTGACAGACCTCGAATCAGTCTCACCGCTGCTCTCCAATCAAGCGCAGCAACACACTCGTCAAAGAGCTGTTTGACGACGCTGGCACTCAGGGCAACTCCAGAACGCATGCAAGAGACGAAGAATGAAGCAGCCTCGTCGAAAAGCTTGAAGTGGAGGAGGCCGTTTAGAATGGTTTCCACCAACGGTACATTGAGAGGAACATGTTCCCAAACCCAATTTCCTGTGCTTGTGCGGAGCTTAGTATTCGCTGCCCACTTCTCCATCCCCCAGCTTTCAATGTCTTTGATATGACGTCTTCCCATCTTCCCACCAGACCTAACATCTAATCCGGTAAGACATGCGAGGGTGCGAAGAAACTGCCCGTGGTTACGTGTTACTCGGTAATGGTTAAGAATCGCTGTAAAGGTGGACGGAGTAGGCTTCAACAGCCGTCTATGGAAGAATGAGTAGACCAAGGCGTCGGAGAAGACATGATGGCCCGATCTGTCAAATGCAACAATGAGGGTGTTGTATGTATGCATGTCGGGGGGGTGTGCGGAGACGAGAAGGTTGAAGCAAACTCTGCCGATTTTCTCTTTCCAGCTGAGGTCATGGGTATTGACCAGAGATCGAATTTGGTTATTCAAGGTTATCGTGTTCTTCGCCGCTTTGCCCGGGTCTACGGATCGAAAAGAAAAGTTTGGGTATCCTTTCGCCGCCAGCCCTCTAGCCTCATCGAACGATGGGCATTCAACTGAGCTATTGTCGAGTATCTCGGCGCGGCAAAGTAATTGTTGAACGAGATACTCAACACTGTGGGATTCGCGAACCAACTGGGCTTGACTAAGGGACTCCCGGGAGCCAATTCGACTATCTCGCTCTTCAGCCATGATTGCTCTTTCCAATTGGTCGTAATTGATCTGCCTTGAAGAGTGCAACGAAGATTCTCCTGGGGCATTATAGTATTCTTTCTTCAAATGAGCGATCAGCTCAGATGCGTCGATCACCGCCGGTTTGTCGATTTCCTTCATGAATGGTCGATTTCGGTAAATCGCTTTGAGGCTTTTCCAAAGTGTATCCATCTGCTGCATTGACAGCTCTGGCGTATTGGCTTCCACCTGCGACGACGTTGATGACGACCTTTCCTGCAATTCGCTCAGTTCCCTCCTCGCTTCCTCCAACTGCCGGTCCAGCTCCCTTCTGCGATCATCTTTTCGTACGGCATCCACAATTGCAGCCGTCGCAAAGACTGAGCTGTAACATGCTGTGAATATCTCTGCAAAGGTCGCTTTGCGTCGTCCAGTAGCTCCGGTAGCTCGTCTACCAGCAGCACCGATTGCGGTGCTGCAGGCCCTGCACCCGCAACGATGAGCCTGACTGGCTCTAGCCCAGAGCGATTGCATCAGGTCTTCATCTGAAGAAATACAAACGCCTCTGGCTAGGTTTCGAGGCGAGTCGACCCAATTGGGGGGAGGATATCAATTCGTTGTTGAAAGATTGCCTCGGGAGCAACTCGGCTCACGAAATGGGCTGATCCTTTTTTTGATCACGTGATAGCTTCAGGTTTGATGCGCGTGCACTCCACGCTCCATAATCCCCGCCAAGCGCCGCATGTGGCTCACAGACAAGGACTTGAGACACCGAGACTAGAGAATACGCGAGTGATCGATGAGATCTGGCGTTGGAAACAGGATTTCCAGTGTGTGAGCTAGTTTGTCGTTCAAGATGTTTACGTTAACCATCAAAGCTGAGCAGACAGGGTATGTGTCTTGTATGGCGACATCTTGAATACAAGTCGGCTAATCTTGCCCCCAGAGTAACAAACCTGCGGCCAGACGACACCCAGGACAACCCATTCTGGTATATGTTCAAGGTGCAATGTACGTCGTGCAGAGAGACACACGATAACTATGTGGGTGTAAACCGTTTTGTAAGTGCCCAAGCACATCTTCGCTTGAACCCTGATGGTCAGGTCGTTCTCATCTCCCACCTAGGAAATGAACGAGATGAGCGGCAGCCGGGGTGAGGCCAACTTTGTATGGAGATGCAAAAACTGCAAGGTATTATTTTATTTCAAATCAGGCAGTCGCAGGAAAGAGGTCGCTAAAGCATCTAGCAGCGTGAATCATCAGCTTCCATCAAAGCCGCACCGTTGGCATACGAACAATCTGAGCCACCCAAGGCGCACAAGATTATTGAATTTGATTGCCGCGGACTCGAGTTCACCGAGTTTAAACCAGAGGTGAGAACACGGCTGGGTGGCTCATTTTCATTATTTGGACAAGGTTCTGATGCTCATTGACAGGGAGAGTGGCTTGCTGAGGGTGTTGACTCGGGCACCAAGTTTACAGCTATCGACCTGGCAGATGGTGAATGGTTTGACTACGACGAAAAGGCTGGAGAGGAAGTTAGCATCAAGGATATCGTCTGGGAGATTCGCAGAGCTTAGATGCTTAGGTCGAACGAAATCAAAGAGCTTAATTAACCAAAAATGTAGATACAGGGTAGCCGCGCCCTTGGAGCCAGGACGCTATCGATACCCCACCCGTAAGCCCATGCACACATGTGCAGCCTTGATACGACTCTGACCTGGCCAAAACTTGCGGAATGCATTCAACTTCGGGCCAAGGTGGACATCAGTATCGACAATATTGCCATCATTTCGTTAGAATGGCGTCAGACGAGCTTTCAGCCGGCCTCAATTACCTCACCGACGCGGCGCATCTCCTCCGACAGACGGCCCCGGAAACTTCTGCGCACCTGATGAGGCAACGAGATGATTTGATGTTGCACAACAACCTGACTCAACACGAAGTGCAGCGGCAACATGTCTGCGGCGCCTGTGGACATATCATGATTCCGGGAGACAAGACGTCACTGAAGCTCGAGCCCCGCGAAATACACAGGCTGCGAAGACAGGCTGCCTCACAGAAGAAGAAGAGGCAGGACAAGCCAAATTCAGGACCAACGAAATCAATTTCATGTGGGCATTGCGGTCGAGACACTACGATCAGCCTTCCAGCACCCGAGGCAGCGACACGCCGAAAGATATCGAGAGCGTCTGCCGCCAAGAAGACAGTGCCGGCGGAGCCACAAAATCAGAAGATGACGGCGAATGCAAGCAGCAAGAAGAGGGCCAAGAACCGCAAAGGCGGGCTGCAAGCCCTGCTTTCTGCACAACAGCAGAAATCAGCAACCTCTCTGTCCCTTGCGGATTTCATGGGATGAGATGACACGGGTCTGTCACGCACGACAGCTCTGCACCTAATGTGCACCCTTTTCGGAGTTCAAGGGAACGTCTAACATGGCCTGAGGCCATCCCCAGGCCAGCACCTGGCTCCTCTCAAGTCTCGAGGTAGCTACGGAGTACACGGCATCAAAACCTGCATAAAATGCGGCAACGCCATTGGACAGATTTTGCTGTTCCAACCTCGGCCTCCAATGTTGGGTGCCCCACTGGAAGCTTCAGTTGCCTTCTAGTGCACCCTTGAAGGGACTCCCCGCGCCACCAGACCACTAAAATCCCCCCCGGGTCAGCAAGCAGCCTCGCGCTAGCCACCTGGAATGACACAAGGCTGCGGAGCACCGTCCTGCAGATTTGCCCCTCCAAAAATTTGAATGCCCCTCCATCCGAGTCACAAACCTGCATGCCTCTAATTTTGCGACGACCATACACACGCCATCTATACGCCGTCGCTCTGTGATAAAGAGAACCACAGCGCCATGTCTGCTGACGACAAGAAAGTAGAGACGACGCAGAACCCGACCGAGTTCTTCGAGTCCATCGGTAACAAGGTTGCGGGCTTCTCGGCCACCACCAATGACGCTACCCAGGAAGACGAAGAGTATCGACCCGTCGAGGAGATTGAATCGCTCTGCATGAACTGCGGCGAGAATGTGCGTCCCTGTACCGCCAATTTTACATTCTACTTCAGAATACTAACATGAGTTACATAGGGCGTCACCCGCCTCCTTCTCACAGCGATCCCCTACTTTCGCGAAGTTGTCATCATGTCCTTCTCCTGCGAGCACTGCAACGTGCAAAACAACGAGATCCAAGCTGCCGGCACCGTCCAGCCAAAAGGAACACACTACGAGCTTCGTCTCACCAGCCTCGAAGACTTTTCGCGGCAAGTCGTCAAGTCCGACACCGCCACCGTCAAGTTCATCGAAATGGATCTTGAGATCCCCCCCGGCCGCGGCCAACTCACGAATGTCGAGGGTCTGCTTACCACCGTCATGGATGACCTCGAAATGAACCAAGAAGCCCGCAAACAACAATCTCCCGAAGTTGCCGAAAAGATTGCCGAGATCATCACCAAAGGACGTTCCATGCTCGCCGGCGACGCATTTCCCTTCCGTTTCTATGTCGATGACCCGGCCGGCAATTCCTTCATCGCACCCGACCTCAAAGACGGCGTAGGAAAATGGGAGAAGCGCGAGTTTGTCCGCACCCCGGAACAAAACGCCCTCCTCGGTCTCGGCGACACCACCGAAGCACCTGCCGACTTCACCAACCCGGGCCTCACGGCAGACGGTGAAATCATCCCCAACGAAGTATACAGCTTCCCAGCCAGCTGTCCTGGCTGCATGCACTCCTGCACAACGCATATGAAAATGGTCGACATCCCGCATTTCAAACAAGTCGTCCTCATGTCCACCGTCTGTGACCACTGCGGCTACCGCTCCAACGATGTCAAAACCGGCGGCGAAATCCCCGAGCTCGGCGAGAAAATCACACTCACCGTACAAGATGCCACCGACCTTGCCCGTGACATCCTCAAATCCGAAACATGCGGCCTCGAGTGTCCCGAGCTGCAGCTCCAAGTCAACCCTGGCACGCTGGGCGGGCGCTTCACCACAGTAGAAGGCCTCCTCACACAAGTCCGCAACGACCTGCACAGCCAAATCTTCGAAGTCAACGGCCCGGGGCAAGGTGGCGACTCGCTGAGCTCCTCTGAAAAGACGCAGTGGGATGCCTTCTTCGCGGGACTGGATGCCGCCATCAAGGGCGAAAAGGAATTCACTGTCATCCTGACGGATCCGTTTGCGAGCAGTTTTGTGCAACCACTTGTCGATCCACCTGCTCCTGATCCCAAGATTAAAAGGGAGAATTATCAGCGGACTGAAGAGGAGGAGGAGGAGTTGGGGCTAAAAGATATGAAGGTTGAGGGATACGAGGAGCCTGAAAATACCGGCGGCCAGGATGAGTAACGTGCAAAATATTTAGCGGGGAATGCGCATAGGAAGTGAATTTGATTAAGAGGGTTATAGAGAATATCATGAGCGGAGTTTGAACTGGGGTAATATACTCAAATCGTAACGAAACCTAACCGTGTCTTTTTCTGTAATATCACGTAAATTGATTGAGAAATATCTTGAACTTTAACTGACTGCTCATATGATACCAACGCATGTCTTCCACATTGGGTATACTGACACGAAAAGCACATGGATTCTGTACAGCACGAAATGAAAAACAGACCAAACTCCATGCTCCGTGTCCACGTAATGCTTCCACCCTGAATCCGCCGCAAACCCATCCATCCTCATCCAGGACGGACACCCGTGATCATATCCTCAATCTGAGCTTTCTTCTCCAACGGTGCATCTGTACGAATCCGCAACTCTAAAACGACAGGAAAAATAAAATAAAAGCAAGCCCACGCCGGAGGGAATGTGTCACCGTCCTGTTTAAGCCTTCGATCCCTGATTTTGGGGAGTGTTGCAGTAAAAAGAAAAAAAAGTGGTTTGACAAATTGTAAAACACAAGGAAAGGGGGGAAAAGACCGAAATCAAAAACCGCTTCTCGAAGGCCGGTTTGGCTCGAGCCATGATAGCATTATAGCTCGACCCGATCCTTGCGCTCGCAAAACAAGTATTAAATGTAAAACTGGCAAAGAGTTTCTGTGTCAAGCGTCCTTTCTAGACACAGCAAAGAAGAGTAATCGGTCATTCTGCCCTCCAGCCAACCTTTGTATCGAACAGCCAGGCGCCAAGTTGCTCGGCATATTCGGTGATAGTAATGTTACCGGCCAAGCCAGCATAGCCATCTTTATGTAGGCAGCACCATTGTATTCGAACCGTATCAATCGTTTTTATACTCCATGCCAATGAAAAAACGCAAATATGACGCTTAGAAGAACGAAGGCTTTGTGAGGACGCGGTACTCGACATAGTCCTCACCGTCGATATTGATAATCGTGCCCTGCGATACAAGCTTTCCCATAAAAGGCCCAGTTGCTTTGCGCTCATACTTGATGCCGTCGTAAATCTTGGCTTCGTCCGAACTGCTTTTCATGCGAAGGCTCTCCTGTCGAGCCCATACCTTGTTCAGTCGCTGCATATCGTCAGATTCGTGGAAGAGCATTCGGCCGTTGGTGTTGTGATGGTGCTCGAGAGGCATGTTGGAGGCTGCTGCAGCTGCAGCGGCAGCGGCATTGGCTGCATCTGCAGCGGCGGCGGCGGCGGCTCTCTCTCTCTGTATGGCGTGACGATCTGCCCGGCCTTGAGCAGCTTCAGCTCTCGCAATTTCACGACGTGCCAACGCGTTAGTTCTCTCCACAGCCTCTACGCTCTGAAGTCGGCTTGCGCGTAGTTCACTCTCGCTGAGTGATGCCCGGATAGGTCGCGGCTCAGTCCGGCGCGACTGACGGAGCTCGTGACCACCATAACCATGCCGTCCATTCATGCGCTCATCGCTATCACCCTGTGGAGAGGCTGTAAACGTGGGAACTGTGACATTGTGGGGTTGCTTATATGGCATTGTGCCGGCTCGGGTCTGTGCCTCGTACACAGCCTTGGTCTCATTCTCAATGCGATCGGCAGAGGATTCGCCATGATCTAACTGATATTGCCGAACGCGGCAGTATTCCTTAACCTCTTGCCTGTTAAGAGCTTTCAAGTGTGGCTCAAATTCAACCTCCTCGTAAGCAATCCATAAAGCACCGGCTCCAGATGGGAAGTTGCCATCCACGAATCGGCCATCCCTAGTCTCTCGCACGACCTTGACACGGAACATGTCATTCTGACCCAAGATACCATATACAGCGTGGCGATCCTTAGGATCAAGTTCGCTCGACGGCTTCCAATATCCTATTAGGATGCGCGTCGGTCGAGTCCCTGGAAGAGGATCAACAGAAAATCGATTTTGGTGAGCGGCAATAGCCAGCTGCGAAGCTGGAATTGCAGTCGGCTCGGGGACCATCTCAGGAGGAGCTGGGTTAATGGCGGCAAAACCACCACTGACACGCCTACGCTTGAGGTCAGGGCGGGCGGGGCCCTGGAGATGGTCTGGCATATCGATACCGTATGCGATGGGAGGAGGCTGTACCGGATTCTCTAAAGCTGGGTTCTCCTTGACGCGGCGGATCGCCTCTTTAACGGCAGCGTGCTCAGCAGCTATACGGCCATCCTCAGTTTCCTCAGGTGCAACCTCGGACCGAAGACGCGTATACTCCTTTACTTGGCAGTGGTCCAAGCCGACAAGATGGTCAGAAAAGACGACGCGCTCAAAGGTGACCCAGCTTCCACCGGGTCCTGGAGGCAGGGGATAGTCCTCAGCCAATGACTCCCCATATTTCGTGTTGGGTTGAATCCGAGTGCGTAGGCGATCTCGGACATCAATGAAGCCGATAACAGCGTGCCTCTTGTCCTCATCTGGCACGTGAGAATCCCTCCAAGTCCCCAGAAGAACACCTTTAACTCCTGGACCACCGAGGCTTTGACGATTGGGTTTGAATTTGATCGTACTAGTGGGCGATGTGGGCGACCTTTCAGGGGCCGCAGTGTGGGCGCTCTCTAGCTTGCTCTCGCTCAGATCATTGAAGATAGAAGTTCGCTTTCGCTTAGGGTAATGTGAACCAGCAGACTCCTCTGGAGCGTCTTCCATCGCCTCGTCCTCGTTACCCTCTGAAGTTTGGCGCCCGCTTGGCAACTTTGGCGCTGCCCTGCTGCTCCGGCCACTGACAACAATTTCGTCTTCCAGTTCGTTGAATGCTACATTGCTGTCCGGGTCGCTCAGTTCACTATCGCCCTCGTTATCCTCCTGGCGAGTTTTGTTGCCATTCAACCGTCTAAGCGTCATGTTAGTCGATATTTCTGGTATGTTCTTCGTTCTTGTGATGGGCCCTGAGGGCGATTCTGTGGCATGCATGCCTGATCGTTTCTATCTCGAGACAAGAAAAAATATATATACATATATTCTTTGTATATGTATATATATGTGT